TTTTTTGAGTATTTTGATTCCTGATGTCAGATTTGTGTCCATTAATTCTTTTGCGTAGAGACTGTCCGGTTTGGACTAACACGGCTGTTACTCTGAAACATTTCAGCATGGGTAACCTTTCTCCCCAGAATTTGGGAGATTAATTCTGTCCATCTCCAGCACTTATACACCCCCCCATTACCATAGTATCTCACAGTCTTTAATGCATTTATCTTCACAACATGCTGGTGAAGACTATTGCTTCCATTTTTCAGATGGTGGCACAAAGAGACTAAGTGAGCAGCCTATATCAGGGTTGGCCAAACTTAATGGCCTCTGAGCCGCATAGGACAATCTTCAGAAGTTTGAGAGCCTGGGGCTTGGGGCTTCAGCCCAGCGGGGAGGGGAGTATCTGGGCTTCAGCCATGCAGGAGGGGTCTGATGGGGCTTGGGGCTGAAGCCCTGATCCTGCTGAAGCCCTGAGCCCTGACAGGCATGTCTGGTGGGGCTGAAGCCTCCAAGCTCTGCCCCGCACCCCACCCCACCCCACCCCACACACACACTGGGCAGAAGCCAGAGGCGACACGTGGGGGCCATGTGAGGTCACATACTCTCCCAGATTTTTGCCAGGGTTTGCTGGCCCCACTCGGTCACATGGTGCTGCTGGGCCCCCTCTCTGCATGACAGCTGCTGGATCCAGCAAGCTGGGAGCTGCAGCCATGGGGAGAGGCAGCAGCAAACAGCGGGGAGCTGCAGGGAGAGATGCTGCTTTTGTTGCTGCCTCTTCCTGCGGAGCTAAAGCAGGGGCCTGCAGCTCCCTGGGGTTAGCGCACTTGCTTGAAACGTGACAGATCCCGGTGCCTCCCTGCAGCTCCCAGCTGTTTGCCGCTGCCTCTCCATGATGCAGAGCTAACACCTGGGTGCTGTAGGGAGGAGCCGCTGAGGGTAAGATGGGGGGTGTGCCGTAGGGGGCATGACTCATGCTGTTGGGGGAACCTTTAAAGTGTGCCCCATATATAGGGTTACCATACGTCCGGATTTTCCCGGACATGTCCGGCTTTTTGGTCCTCAAATCCCCGTCCGGGGGGAATTGCCAAAAAGCCAAACATGTCCGGGAAAATGCCGGCATCCCTGCCCCAGTCCCCTGCTTACCTGAGCGGCTCTGGCAGGCTGCGAGCTGCAGGTGGATTCCCCGCTGCGGCGGCGGTGACTGCTGCTGCTCCCCCCAGACACCTCAGCTCTGTGTAGCTGAAGAGCTGAGCTGCCCGAGCGCTACCGGCTTCACGGTTTGCCGAGCAGCCCCCAGACCTCCAGACCCTGAGCCCCTGGCCGGGCGCTTCCCCTCCTGGGCTCCGGCTGCACTAGGGAAGCACCCGGCCGGGGGCACAGGGTCTGGAGGTCTGGGGGCTGCCTGGCAAACCATGAAGCTGGTAGTGCTCGGGCAGCTGTTTCGCGGCTGGGAAGGAGGAGGGGGAATGCGGGGCGCTCAGGGGAGGGGGTGGAGTTGGGGCAGGGACTTTGGGGAAGGGGCGGGGCCAGGGCCCCATGGAGTGGCCTTTTTTTTTAAAAACCTTAAATATGGTAACGCTACACATATAGGGTGACCAGACAACAAGTGTGAAAAATTGGGACAGGGGGTGGGGGATAATAGGCGCCTATATAAGACAAATCCCCAAATATTGGGACTGTCCCTATAAAATCAGGACATCTGGTCACCCTAGCCCCATACTCTCAGCAGGCACCAGTCATCTCTGTCCCTAGCCACACCACCCCATCGCAGGGCAGAAGCCCCGAGCTCCCCCCCAGTCTGCTAGGTGGAAAGGGGGGGGCACTGAAGGGTCCGCGAGCTGCGTGTTAACCCTAAAGGAGCTGCATGCAGCTCACAGCCACGGTGTGGCCACCCCTGGCTTAAGTCACACAGGAAGGCTGTGGTAGAGCAAAGAATGGCACCGGGATCTGTCACATTTCAAGCAAGTGCGCTAACCCCGGAAGCATCCTTTCTAGGCGGACTATTAAGAAAGGGAATGGTCATGGGGATCTATCTGAGCTGTTTCCAGGGCAACAATCACCTCTGAATGCCATTGCGGATGCCTGCCCGCTAGGAATCCCTGACGGGGGAAGGGAGGGGTGTTCCTTTCTACAGCAGTTTCCCCCAGCGCTCTCTGGCATGACTCAGACATACATTTTCATTGCTTGTCATGCAGAACACAAAATGCTGCTTGAACATTTGTAGTCGCACGCTCCTCTGACAGAATAATGGATTCGTTCTTTCTGCCAGGGTAAATCACCAGCAGCCCTTGTGCCCAGGCAAAGATTGCAAAAAAGGACCTGGTGCCTCTGACCTTTGGGTAACAGTAAGTTCTGATTATTTTTCACTTTCATTACCCTCCACCCACCCAAGTGCTCTTCAGTTCTTAAGCTTCAGACAATTGAACGCTTCGCTAACAAAGACATGTGACGAACCTGCCTCTGCCATTTGGTTTTAATTGGAGATTTCACGCTCCAGGGGTGAGACATTTAAAGCCAATATTAAATCCATTCCTACAGCCAGTTTGACCTCACTTATATTTTGTTCCTTGATGCAGATTTCGTCACATCCCCACTGGCAGGCTTCCCTCATCCCCTCCTGGTCTCATGCACCGGCAGTCATTGTTTGATCTACCTAGGTAATGTTGGAGGCAGTGATAAACTCACAGGCAATCCCTCAGCAAGAAACTAGCTCCTGAGCTGCTGTAGACAGGCATTGCTGATTTACACCAGTTTCTCTCAGGCACTTGTATGGCCCCCATCACCACAGTATCTGAGCAGCTCACACTCTGTAATGTATTTATCCTCCCAGCATACCTGTGAGGTAGGGCAATGCTGTTGTCCTCATTTTATGGTTGGAGAATGAGGTACAGAGGGACACAGAACTGAGCCCCAATCTCCCCTGGCTCTGGCTAGTACTCTAGCCACTGGACCACCTTTCACTGAGGATCTGGCCACAAAAACATCTGCACTTCCCAGGGTCTTTTTCTCTGAATGTGCCTTGCTCACCACCCTTTCTCCCCACCACTACATCACCACCATCGTCATCATCTTGGCTAATATGACACAGTCCCCTAGGCAGCCTACCGGGGGTGAAGTCACTATACTGGTTAGAACAGGCCAAGACTCAACATTTTTTAGTCTCTGTCTCTCTTGTGGGGGGCATCAGAAGAGTTAATCTAATTCTTGTGCTAAATGGTCGCTTCGTAAAGACACAGCAGCAGTCCTTGGGCTCATTATGTAAATATGGTATTAATTTTATTGTAAGCACACCTCGTATATGCAGATCCCATTGCAAATGAATGGATCTGGCGGTGTCTAGAGGCAGAGCTGGTGGCACCTAACACAAGTAACTAGCTCAAGCAGGATAGAGAGCAGGAGAATGAGTACTCAGCCCATCAGTGACCTCTCCCATAGACAAAAAACATTCCAGCTCCCGGATGAGTCAAATGACCCATGCTTTCCAGCAACAAGGCAGAAGTGGGTTTAATTGTTTGTCCTTCAAAATATATCTGCATTCAGAATTTTTGTATCCCTTTTAGTGAATGTGCTGGGCAGCCATGCTCCCACTGATTTTAGGTGGAGCCATGCGTGCTCTTTACCTCTGAAATCAGGCCACGCTTCAGGAAAGTGATGAGCACATAGCAGCGGCTTGAGTCAGGCAGCTGCTTTGCCTATACAGAGACATCAATATACCTGATCTATAGCTCACCACTCCCCTGTGATTCCAGTCCTGGGCCCTCACAATTCTACCAGTGCACTCACTCCTGACCTGCAGCATCGCTGGCTATTCCAGTCCTGGATCCTTGCTAGCTGTGTAGCAGCTTTGTGATGTGGACAAATGGGAACTAAGAGAAAACTCAGAGCGGTCAAGAGGACAGTCCTCAGCGAGGGCAAACCAGGATCACTTTATTGGTGTCAGTGGATTTACACACATTTACAATAAGCTGAGGATCTGACTCATTGTCCTTTGTGACGTAAATCAGGACTACAGAAGTGAGAGTCTAATGAACAATGCCACTATGCCATTTAATCCCTGTGGAATCTCAGTTCTAGATAGCCTGGTCCTGTAAGTGCTCAGTGTTCATATGAAACAGAGCCCAAGGAACAATCTCAGGGCACAGACGTTCCCTCCTTAGAAAGTGGGATTGTTAAAGACTAATGCCACAGTTATCCATGCATTTACTCTAGCTGCCAAACTGTTTTGCATTTCTCCCCGGCTTCCTCCTCCAACCCGCCCTGTAAATAACACGGAGAGTAACCAAGAACGATAGCTCCTGTTGTTGATTTAATGTTTTAATGCCTTTGTGCTCTGTGTGTCATGCTGGAATACTAAGCGCAGACTCGGATGCAATGTTTTAGTCCCTGTCTGCAGTGGCCGATGGGAGTTGAAAGAGTCTGTACACAGCTGATAACGTGGAATCAGAGACAGCAATGTTGCGGCCAGGGATGCCACTTTAAACAGTTTCCAAATGGGGGGAAAATGACATTGTCTTCCAGATCTGTGCCTGGGGCGTCATAAAAGGAATTAGACTGGATAACATTTCCAAACCCAGCACACTGGGATCAGTGCTGAAACACAGCAAATAAAATCCCTGAAAAACCCAGCATACATGCTACATATCCAGCCTAAGACCTGCAATTGCTGCAAGTCATTACCATTCAATGGCTGTTTGGCGGCCTATGTGAAATAAATGTATGGTCTCAAGCCAGTTTCTAGCGAAGAAACCACAACAACTAGCAGTAATCGGTCCCTTTGTTGTCAGCATCAGCATATATACAGTTGATGAGTGAATGATCCATATGGACTCAACTGTCCTCTCAGCTCCTACGGGTTCTCTCCAGGTCAGGCTTGAAGGGTATGGCTGGTGGACCATATGAAAAGCACGTAGTACCACTGCCCACACTGTACCTGTTCTGGGGATGAGAATGCCATGACTGTCCATTGTGAACTTTTCACCTGTGCTGAATTCACTCCAAACATGTACAATAAAATAAAGAAATTATCTGTAGGGCCGAGATGATTTGCTTAGTAGGAAAAATATAGTTGAATTCAATATCCCAGTGCATGGTTACGACTGTTCCACTCCAAAACCAAAGAACACCCTAAAGTCTTAGAGGACTGGTGGAGAACTTGGGGCCAGAGCAGATGTGGGTGAGGGGGAAACTTTCTCCATGGCTGATGAATCTGTTCCCTCACCCGGGGCCTTTAAACCGCTGCCAGAGCCCCCGGCTGCCGCTGATACCCCAGGGCTCCGGCAGCAGGGCTCCGGGGGCTATTTAAAGGGCCGGGGCTCCCCTGCTTCTACTGCCCTGGGCCCTTTAAATACCCGCCGGAGCCTGGCGGAGCGGCGGCGGGGCTCCGGCAGCTATTTAAAGGGCCCAGGGCAGAAGAGGCAGCGGGAGCTCCGGCCCTTTAAATAACCCCCGGAGCCCCGTTGCCACTACCCCAGGGCTCCAGCAGCGTGGCTGGAGCCCCAGGCCCTTTAAATTGCCACCTGGGGAAGCCGTACCGGGGCGTACCGGCTTACTTTCACCTCTGACCTCTTCATTGCCTTGTTCCCATCTGTTCTTTTCTCTATCTGTTTGCTTTGATCTGTGGCCAAGCACTCTTAACACAGATTAAAAAAAATCTAAATCAACATTACCAATTGGCTTGGATTCACCTGGCACATTGCCTATCTTTCAGGAAGATATTTAATTTACGGTGTTGGCTTTTTAATTTGGAAAGTTATTTGGGATATTATTGCCAATTTCTTGACTTGTTTATTGACTTCAAACTTAAGTTGGTCATCACAGCTGTTTGAATCCGAGTGTACCGTACTGTATGTTAATTTACAGAATTTCACCACTGAAAATTTATAAGATTGCTTGATAGTTCTCTTCTCTTTGCTCCTATTCTTGGCATTCCATGAGCAAGAAAAATTCTGGGTTAACATGCTCTTGCTCAATTTGTTTCCTTCTAAATTCCCCCACAGTTCAGGCTGCCAGTTACTTAGGGCCAACTTCTGCAGCCTTAGTAACTTGTTTTGCTCACTCACGGCCTGCAGATTCTGGCCTTGCATGTGGAATCTCATATCATGATACTATAAAGATATATTCAGGTATCTATCTTTGTTCATTGTGAGTAGCCCCATTGACACAGCGTGTAAAGCTAAGCACACGCATACATTTTTGCATGATTAGGGTCTAATGCAGGACTAGAGCAGAACGCCCATTGAAGTCAATGGGGGTTGTCAACTTCATAGTAGGGTTTATGCTGGGAGGACTGAGACCTCCTAGTAGTCTGGCAGTCTTAAAGGGGCAGACCACTACAATAACCCATGGCTGATGGGATAAAGATGGGCTAGACTTTAATTTTAAAATGGAAAGATTCACTGGCTGCAAGCTCAAGACCCTTAGATATTTAAACAAGTTATCCTGAGAGTCAATTGATGTCCTGCCAGAGCATTTCCTTATACTATGTACTGGTTTCCCTTCAGTTGTGTTGGCGTCTCTCTGCTTTGAGGGTGCTGTGCCAAAGTTATCTCATGTTACGAAATCCCAAGCACTTAACTGGAAAAGGTTTCAATTCCCTCTTGATCGTTCAGGAAATGTGCCTTATTTCAGCATCGCTTACTGAATGTTGGGGTGGGGTGGAGGTTAAATATGTGACAGATAGCAACATTGTACAATTTTATCACTAGTTTTGTGATATTTGGTGTTTTGCTTAAAGCTCCAACTCCTGGAGTCAGGTGATTACATGAGAACATCAGCTTTTATTACTAAAAAAAGTAGGTGTCTGGCTCTCATGATTGCAGAGAAAAGCTTGACAAACATGATCTGAGTGCACCTTGTCGGAGAATAACTCTCTGCTTTCACAACCTTGAAGGCTCAGAAATCAGAAGGCAAAAGGAAACAATCCAAAATTAATTTTTAAAAGTCTCTTGATTTTTAAGACAAACTCATGAGTTTTTGAGGGCCCAACTCATTATTTTGGGATTGGCAATACTGTTCATACTCTCTCCAATCACCCCTGCCACCTCTCTTGTCTCTATCTTCATGAGGACAACACCAGCTAGGAAGAATGGGTTTGTTTGGCTACAAACTCAATTCAATCTCAAATTAAAGGAGAATTACATAGGGGGGAAAATGGTTTATGCCTCCCTGCACCTTTTAAAATTATTTTTCCTCTTTGTAATGTATTAAAAAAATGCCTGAAAAGTTTTTTTGATTGTTTATTAAGTGGGTTTATTTCCCCCCCTGCTTGTTTCTTACCGTAGAAGCAGCAGGTCTGTAAAGGCTGGTCTTCTCTAGTTTTGCTAGAGGACCCATTGAAAATGCCAGA